TTTTTTTTTTTTTTTTTTTTTTTTTTTTTTTTTTTTTTTTTTTTTTTCCGTCTCTCCTTGCTTTAACCACCAATACACAATATATATGCGTATGTGTTGTTCACCCATCCAGCTATCTTTTTGCATGAAGAAATTTTATATGTAAGGAGAGCAGAGTGTACATGTAGAGAGAAAATGACAAACGATAAGTGATAAATGATAAGTTCTTCTATTACTATATATATATGTATACACATTTACGACTCGTATGTATGCCCATGTACATACGTGCACACCCATGTTTATATGTATGCACTACGTCTGTACCATAAATAATGTCAAACAGAGAAAACAAAAAAACTCACAAAAAAAACACTACAATATTGTATATATATATTATACGTGTGCGTAATACGCCGTTCTTCCACTTAAATGTCACAGAAGTTTGGAGTGATGCACCCACATCGCTGAAATGTTAAGTCAGGGTGGTATTCATTGCAACATAACAAGTGATCCTTTTGTTCGGCCTGGAAATTATAGCCCCACGATAGAGAAAAAAACGTGGCCCGGAACGTACTTTCTGTACGCTCGTGCCTTGGCTTTCCGTAATTTTTACGCGTTCCTCCCAATCCGTGCACTCGTGCACCACCATATTATAATGTTTACGTCGCCGGTGTCGCAAACTTGCTGACTATACTTTTGAGCGTAAAAAGAACGCAAGGGCCTCTACGGGCACCAAGTTTATTTTCGCCCCTCGTGCAAGCAACAGGGAAGGTCTCCTCAGGCACCATGCATGATGTGCATGCGAAGGGGACACTGGGAAGTTATAAATAAAAACAATGACACTTTTGCTACTATGCAGAGATTAAAAAAAAAAAAATACAGTAAAAAATGGCTAAAAAAGAGGTATAAAAAATGGAGCATAAACAAAGGAGTTAAAGCAAGGGTGTAACAATCTATAACCATCAGTACATAAAAAAAAAAATAAATGGATGGTGAACGGAAATCACTATACGAGGCGGGTGAAGGCCCTAGGGGGGGAGGAGGAGCTGTATATACATATATTATATGTGTAGCAAATACACATGCGCAAAGGTTGTGCATATGGCACACTTTGGCCCGGGGCCTCGTCGTAACTGCCTTCGCGATGAGGAAACTAAGAGGAAAAAGGGAAAGAACTATACAATAATAGAAACGTATAACAACACCACTTCACTTTTCCCCCAACCCCTGTTTAGTTGTCGTAGAAGCTCTTCATCTTCCTCTTCCGCTTGTTCTTTTTAACCGATACAAGCCCAATTGCAGTGTTGGGGCTGGTGATACTGGAAGGGGCTTTCTTCTTATCTTCATTGAGGTATTCCTTAATATATTCCTTTTCCATTTGCTTCCTGTAAGCTATGCACTGCTGCTTGACATTTTCAATTTCCTCATAAGTCATATTTTTGGTAACCAAAAATCTTTTGGCTCTTCTCTTTCCACCGCTAACCTTATACTGGGCTGTCCAGCTGCTTCTGCTTTTTTCAAAATAGACTCCAGAAACGCCGGTTGGTCCAAAAACCTCTCGCAGATTTTCCTGATCAACACTAGTAAACTTTTCTAGCTTCTTAACTCTTGGCGATTTCATTTCATAATTTTGTGGAGACGACAAGGATTTCACAGTCTTGTTTTTTTTTTCCGTCTGTTGATGATATTTTCCAAATTTATTTTTTTTCATATTTCTTATCTCACGATTCGTTGCTGATTTGTTGCTTAAGTCTTTCTCCCCAGTGTTACTGGCCCATATTTTATTTTTTCCTCTTCCCATGTATCTACTTTTAAGTTCTATTTTGGCTACACGTCCTCTTCGCCTTCCAGGCCCTGTGGTTATACCTACCCCTCCACCAACACTTGTGGATCTCCTTCTAGTCTTTACAAGACCTTTACTTCTCCCTTCATCTTCATCCTCTTCCTCCTCCTCATCATCATCCTCTTCCTCATCAAAATCTTCTTCCTCCTCCTCATCCTCGTACGGTAACCCCCCGTCTGTACCTTCACCTGCGCTTCCCAGTCCCTGTTGATGATTCATATAAATAATTTCGTCTATCGTCCTGTTCATTTTTTCAATATCATTTTTTCTTAACAGGTAATATTCTTCTGAAGTCATTTCTCCATTAAAACAACATTTTAAATCATCATTAGGGTTCCCATTTTCATTTTGAAAAATATTATTACAATTACAAAAAAAATCACTTTCTTTCATAAAAACTTCCAATTTTTTGTAATTTCCATTTTTTGGCTGATTTAACTGATTCTCAAAATTATCATATTGGATTCCTGAGCACACAGAACAGAAGCTTTTCAAATATACTGAGGAAATTTCCACGTTGTAAAAATCCTCCTTCCCGCTTCCATATGTGTGGCTCGTTTCGCTATTCGGTGCATCGCTGTAGGTCCCATCTACACATGATGCCCCTGTGGTGTATATGTTGGACAAGTCCCTCTCCGATTTTAACCTTCTGTCCAAATCACCTCTGCTCAGTGCTCCCCCCTGCTGCCCAACATGGGCAACATGTGCAACGTGCGCTACGTGTGGCTCGTCTGCTGTTTCCGCCCCAAGACCTACATTGTCCCCCTTGGATAAGTTATAGTAGTAGCTGCCCTTGGGGTCGTTGGTGAGGAAGCTATTGTTCATCCCCACGCCGACGACACGCCCCCCATCCCTGTACCGGCAGTTCTCCAAGTAATCATACAGCTCGTTCAAATCCGTTATCAGTATGTTTAAGTTGTTTAAAAAGATAATGTTACGGGAGTGCTCTTTGCTGCGCTTGCCTCCGTCCGTTCCTTTCGCAGCTCCACTTTCCGCCCCGCTTGCGGCCCCCCCTTTCCCACTGTTGCTATTTTTTCTACCCTCATAGGCAGACTCACTGGCGGTGTTCTGCTCATCGCTGTCAGAACTGTCCTCTTTACAGTCGCTCTCCCTGGCGATCCCACTGTCACTGTCGCTACCGCTACTTCCACCACCCCTACGTAGTAGGATGCTACTTCTCCTAATGTTTACACTTCCGAGGAATTTGGCAATAACCTCTGCAGTGCATCCAGAAGTGCTCCTTCCTCCCTTGTGCCATTGAGAAGAGGCAGTATAATTGGGTATGCTGTTTGGTTCCACCACGGGGGGCTCCTTCACGTTGGCCTGCTTATTGGTGGGATTATTCCCTTCAGGTTGCTTCTGTGCATTGGAGGTGTTCTTCCCCTCTGGTGCAGTTGCATCCCTCCATTCGAACTCCTCACCAGTATAATGATGCGTGGTGGCCGCCATGGACACACTCCTCGCTTTTTCATCCATGTACCCGAGGCTTTTTCCAAAGGCGTGTCCATAACTGCCTCTTCCATCACGACTACAGTTCTTGTCGCTCATCTCGGCACTTTGGTCTACAGTAGTGAAAGCTCTCCTGAGTTTGTGTGGCCAACGTGTGTTCCCCGCATCATAGTCCCTTCTTATAGGTGGTCTGCCTCTTCGATGCTTCGCCATCCAACTGAAGGCTTTTCTGGGGCTTCTTCCCCTCCGAAGATGCATTCCTTTACCATGTTGACGAATGACTATGTTGGTTTTGTTACCCCTGGCTTGTCTCACCTCGTCTATCATGTAACAAAACGTTTCCACAAATTCATTTATAAATGTCTCTGTACCATTTTTTTTTAAATTATCTCCATAGGAACAATTCACGTCTTTGTACTTCTCAACAAAGGAAGAAATTTTATTTTTGTTAAGGTAAAATGAGTTCCATTTTTTGGTGATATTAATCATGGTAGGAGAGTGGGTGCTAATAAAAAGCTGTAGTTTTTTTTTTATATCTGACGATTCCTCCATATTGAAAAAGTGAAAATAATTTTGACTTGCATTCATTTTGTTAGCATATAAATGCTTGCATGGGTCATATAGAAAATTCAGAAATTGGGCCTCCTCTTCACTTTTGTTGCTTTCGCTGCTTAGGTTGTATATGCTGCTTCTGTTACTGTGTGGGGGGGTTCCGGTTTCTCGGTTCCACTCCTCCGTTTGGTTGTCCCATGTGCTGGGGGAAAAAGGGTTGGCGTTGTTTCTGTTTGTACCGCCGCTGAGGGACGGGCTTCTCCCCCGATTGGCCTCCAGCAGGGTTGCTGGCATCTGTTGTTGTCCTGGCTGTGGTGAACACTGGTGAGGAGACTGCATTGGCGACCTCTGTGACAATTGCTGCCACTCCTTCCTTTGCGCGGTACCATCCCAGGGAGTGGCCACCTCAGGTCTGATTCCCCCGCAGCTGTAAGGACTACCAGACCCACCGGAGGACTCGCCTAAAAAGGTGTCCTTCCGGTTTATTATATGTGTAAAGTCGTAAAGCATAATGTTTTCCCCGCTGTTGGTAAAGGTTGAGAAAATCTTTATACTTACTAAATTGAAATATATGTAACAGGAAAATATAAACTTCTTCAACAGAAAAAAATACATGTAGATGTCTTCTGTACCACAAAGAATTTTATATAAATGGTAATTAAAATTTGACATGGGTCCATCATTTGTGCAAATGTAGATAGAGCACCACTTTTTCTTTTCTGTATATAAAAGCTGATATATGGTCAGGCAATTCTCCTTAATCATTTTAATATCATGGTTGTACGGATTGGATGTGTAAATGAAGAACCGACATGAATTAGATAGCTTCTCCCCGTAATTCTTAGAGTTAGCTTTTCCTCGGTAATAATCCATTAGTAAACTTTCCACATGAACTGAATTTGCTTTTAATGCTGCGTCATGGAGGCCCTCATGTGCATTTATTTTCTTTCGCATTATTTTTTCTTGTGTGCGATGATTATATATGTTGCTTTCATTTTTAACGCACCCGTCTTTCTCTGCGCTGTAGTTTTCCTTCGCCAGTTCCATCACGGTTGTGGCTGTCCCCTTCTTCCCCTCAACAGCATCGTTGCGTAAGTGCATTTCCCTCCCGTAGAGGTAGCTCGAATTGTTATACGCGTCGACGTTGACCGTTCTGGCGGGGTTTCCATCCCCGAAGGATCTGCACACTCCGATGTTGTTGCCCGCACTGAAACTACTCCACATGTCGGGCCCATCACACACCTTCATACCGTTATACACACTGGCATTTTTGAATGCATTACTACCCACGCTTGCATCCGTGCTTAGGTTTACACCTGAATTTAACACGTGATCGACGGGATCGCCCTTGTTCTTATTCTCAATGAATATATTTGCCCTTTTATGTCTCTCTTCAAATACGGTGGTATTTATGTTGGAGCTTTGCTCCCGCCCGTTGCTACCACTGGTGCAATAACTCGGGTCATCCGCTTTGACTTCACAGGGGGGAGTTGCAGTGGTGCTACTGGAACTAACCCCACCAGTACTCACATTAAGTGTAAACTTCTCCTCGCCCTCGTGGTAATGCTGATCATTGTGTGTAGCATCTTCCTCGTTGGCGTCCGCACAATTGTTACCATCGAATGTATAATCCATTTTCGTGTTTTTTTCTACACTACTTCCAATATCTGTCCCATGGTTGTGCGTACTCCCCAGTTCTTCCTCCTCTGCACAGTATTCCTCAGAAACACCTCCCCCTTCACCGCACATTCCTTCACCACCACCCCCTCCTCCATCTCCTTCTTCTCCTCCCCCTTCATCTTCCTCCTCTGCGTCCCTCAAGTTATTCTCCTTTTCACATTTCTTGTTTAAGCTTTTGAGAGCTCCAAAACACAGGCTTCTTAAATTACTTGCTACATTAACCATTTTGGGCATTCACCGGCTCATCTTTCGATTTCGTTGCGTTTCTGCCCTTTTTGCTGTGTTTTGCATCGACTAGGAGCCTTCTCGTGGGAATCGCCCAGTGGGTGTAGCGTGGTTGCTCAGATGTATACGCTTATTTGGCGAACGTATGCACAGATGTACACTACGCACTGTACACAAGGCTATTCGCTACTCAATTGCACGTTGGTACTTATACATGTAGCATATATATGTACACATGCGTTCTACGGACGCAAAGGACTTGGCATGGCTGTTGTAACCACGAATGGTAGTTGCAGCCTATGTGCTTCTCCCTTTCCCTTTTTTCCACTCTTACGACACGGAAAAAGGGTTCTAGAAATTGGGTTACAGAAAAATGGCTTCTAAAAATTTGTGTTATAAAAAAAATTAGGTTCTATAAATCAAGATTCTAGAAACTCGGATTCTAGAATTTTGGGTTGTACCAACATGGCTAATTTTCCCTAAATGTTGGTGTTCACCCCGCACTCAGAATTGAGCTGCTAATAATGTTATACTATGTATAACTATTATGTTATTGTTAATTTTTTTTTTTATGTTATGTTTAATATTTCTATTATTCATATTTTTTTTATTAATATTACTGCTCTATTTTGTGGGTGTTTTTTTTTTTTTTTTTTTTTTTTTTTTTTTTTTTTTAATTAGTTGTTCGTTCACGATAGTTAAACGCTACCTACACGCACTTAGGTCACACAAAAATGGCAACAGGTAAAAATCGTGTTGTATAATCTAATCAATGAACGAATGTATACATACGGAGAGCAAATTTTAAATGGTGAATTACAAGCATGTGGGTGTTAAAATCAATTGTGGCTAAAATAGATGTACGTTTAGGTGCACCATATGGGGGGAGGGGGTGGGAGCAATCTTGTAGAGTCTTTTTTAAGTTACAAAAACTGCTCCTGTTTTTTTGATGCACGTGGAGGATACCGCATATGTGTATCTATTAGCAGCGGAAAAACTTAAAAAAAACGGAACTCAAAAATGGTACTCAAAAATGGTACTCAAAAATGGTACTCAAAAATGGACTCAAAAAAGGGCACAAAAAAGAATGCTAAAATTGCTGCCAAGTTGTACAGGCAGACTTCACGCGGCAAATAAGAAAAGGGAGAGACGATGGCATGAATCGATGCACTTTAATTAACTTATCACACTGTGTAATGCACGCATAATCTGTACATGTTCTACGTAGTTGTGATAGTTGGACTAGCGATGGTATAGCCGCTCGGTTGCAATTCGAAGCAACAAACTGTGCTTGTCGCAGAAAGAGCAATTCACTATGTGGGCATAAATAATTGTGCACGAAAAAACAACACAATAAATATTCAAACCGTCTGCATAGTCGATGCAATGTGGCATAATCCCACAAGTGGGTTCATTCAAGGATGAGACAGATGCAGTTTTGTTACAACGAATCCGCTACCACAGTTCTGTCGTCACCCTTTTTTGTAAATACAAAATTGCTACTCTGGTCTTTTTTGATTTGTAAAAAGTGCATATACCACTGTCTCACACACAGGGGTGGAAAAGGGATGACACTTCTTTATATGTACACATGGAAAAAAAAAAGAAAAACAGAACAACACATAGGTGTATCCTTGCTATCACAAAATGTGTATACATGTGGACACTTACGTATCTTATATAATGAGCAGCGTGAGCATATATTCCATTCGTTTTAATGGTGTAACGATTTAGGGTTGCACGCAACTTATGTATGTAACGATCGGGTAAACGCTTTTTCGCCCATGCACCACACATATACACATACGTGTACTAGTCACACAAATTAATTTATGCCTCCTCACTTGTACTTATTAGTATGCAACTCCCCCGTAGAGTATACGTAGGGATGAATCGGTCACTCCAGTTGTTAATTGTGAGTCTGGCAGCACGTACATACATGCATACATAAATATTACAATCAATTCGGTTAAAAAAAAAAAAAAAAAAAAAAAAATCACATAAATTATAATTCAACTGTATCATTTGTATAAATCAATTTGTGCATATGCAACAATTTATATAATAACAAAATAGCTTGAATTATTAAGTACACTCCTTTAACTTAAAATGGGACAGTAGCAAATAAAAAAAAAAAAAAAAAAAAAAAAAGAATTTGATGCAGGTGTGAATTGTTAGGTGCTACCATGATGGAAGAACTACCTACTAGTTAGGTGAAGATTTCAGAAGAAGGCAGATGTAAATGTACTTCACTCAGGTAGTTTCTGTTTTTTGTGCATTCCTGTATTTGATGCTAAAGTAACGCCATCTGTGTGTGAAATCCACCGCTGTATATGCCATATGCACCTACGCCTATAACTTATCAGCTGGTGCGATGTTTCTCAGATGAAGTGAATTGCAATCATTAACGTCGGAAGAATGTACGTGCTGATGCATTTGCTTATTATGCACCCAATATGGGCATACAATGTGTATGGCATACTTACTCACCGGCACAGGATATGCCTTCTGTGGTACAAGAGAGCAATTATCTGTTACCCCGTACGCTAAATTTCTACGCAGGAAATTACAAAACTGAAAAAATTGCCCTTCAAATGCTTTTTAAAAGGTGCGCATAAAACGGACCTAAAACAAAACGGGGGGGTAGAGTCGTACGTAGAACGCTCGATGAATATAAATCGCGGCGGAGTAAACAAAAAAAAAAAAAAAGAGTTAACATAAAAACATAAACAAAATAAAACAGAAAGCATTAATTGTCCTCATTCAGTAGTCACAAAATTGCGACTTTTTACTTGCACACTATGAGCAAATATACATATGAACAATTAACCACTGTGCAGTAGATTGGAACAAACGTGCTCACTTGCTCGTAGGTTAACGCGCCGTTGAACTGCAATAGTAACAGGGACACGGGGATACCTGGTGCGCATTTCGAATGCACTTAAATGGGGACATACGTAGCACACTCCTTAACTCTGCGTGTGCATGTGTACTCGTGCCATAACAAAGTGTTGCAAAAAGGGAAAAAAAAAAAATATATATATATATGCATAGCACATAAATGTGTGCATTTATGCATACAGCCGTGTTCACGTACGTGGTGCTCCTTGTACGTTGCTGTGCGCTTTTGTTTTTTTTTTTTTGGAGTACACACATAACGCATTTGCAGGTACACTGCAGTCTATAACGCCACGGAGAGCTGCATGTTCGCAATAAAACGAAATATAGCTTCTATACATATGAATAGATACGTACACATGACACGGATTGCGGGAAAATTTTGCCTTAAAATGTGAAAAGCGGTTTTGTTGATTAAAGCAAGAAGTATCTTCTGCATGCACCAAAAAAAAAAAAAAAAAAAAAAAA